CCTGTGTAGTTGCAGGTCTGACTACGCAGTTTGTGTTTGACTCCCAACCAGCTTAGCAGTACATAGAGAAGTAGAAAAAAATGAAGTGGCTGCAATAACTGTATGACTCTTATAAAGTGCAATTAATGGATCCTGATGAACAAACTTTGGTGCAAATGTGTCATAACCGTGTTTCAGCAAAACTCTAATTGTGTGATCTGGTGCGTTTATAAAATGCTAATGCTTTTATTTAGGCAGCATAACCTGGAAAAGAGTGAAATGTGTAGGCATAAAACATCTGTATTCCCTTTGGATTTCCCACGAAATGATGAGAAAGAGCTCCATGGTGAAAGATAAACGAATTTTTTTATGCCTGATTGCAAAATGTATGACTTGTGCTTTGCTGATTCAAACCTATTTTGTGTAGTTGTATGAGTTTAAATGGATGGCATCTGCCACTTCATTGTAATTCAGTTTATAGAGGAGGCAGACTAATGGCTTTAAATAAAGACAGGAACAGATGTGAGGTGGTGAGTGATTTGCAGGTGTGTGCAAAGTCTCTTTTCTTGATAAAACGCTGACAGCTTTGTATGAGCTGAACTTTTATTACTTACAGAGGAGTTCTAACAATGTGAATTGTCTGCTGTGCACTATCGTCATGGGGGCATGTTGGTGCAGTGGTTACCTCACTGCTAGAAGGTCCTGGGTTCGAACCTGTCTTTCTGTGGGGAGTTTGTTCTCATATTTTACATAACATCTTAACGTATCTTAATATGCCCACTGAACAGACTAATGATGCTGTAATCACAATTAAGTTTAATTTCAGTAATATCCCTGTTTTCTTTTCTTTCAGATTACAAACGGATAGTGCCTTTGAGAAGATATCTCCGACCTGAAGTTGGTTCATGTACATTGCTGCCCCTCGCTTCTTTTTTAAGTTGCAGTCTCATGCACCAACACAGGATACCTCAGCTCAAGCCCTTTGTCGCTGGTTTGCACACTTTCAGCACCTAAAAGAATGAGAAATTCAAGCCATAAAATAGAGGATAACAAGACGGAGGCTACTGACCAGCGCACATACGACAGAGTAACAATTCTGTGTTGAGATCATTGTTCACTCTCTGTGGGCGTTCTCGGCTGTGGAGTATACACTGCAGTCTCTTTCTGTAAAAAACACAGTTGTTCTTGTTTCTAGGATAATTTTTCTTTGATTGGCTAGTCATCTGATTTTTCTGCTCCTTCTGATGGGGGAGTCATCTGGTTGTTTTAACAAAGAAGCAGACTGTATTCAGAGCTAAAAGCTGCGATTAAGCTACAGCTTCTGGTGAATTAGTCTTTCAACAATAAGAGTGACTTTTAAAAGTTGCTTTAAAGTTACAACTTTTGGACATGGCGTTAAATATTTCTTCAGCGAGAGACACAAAATGGCTAACTCTGGAAGTTTGTCGACAGTTTCAGCGAGGAAACTGTTCACGCAGTGATGAGGAATGCAAATTTGCTCATCCGTCGAAGAGCTGCCAAATTGAAAATGGAAGAGTCATAGCCTGCTTTGACTCATTGAAGGTAAGACATATTAATGATCTTCTATTAAGTGTCAGAAAATAATGCCCCTGTATAAAGGAGTATGAAAGTAAACTAAGACTAAAAGGAAAACTGGATTTTGTTGCTGTTTGCTAGCAGTGTAACTGTGTAAGTTACTTATATGCTTAATAATGTAGTGCTGGAAGTACGTGTCAGTTATTAGTTTATAAAAGTGAAAGAAAAATAATTATTTCTTGGGTTAGAAAAAATTCAAGCATGCTCATTTCCCATGTTAAGTGGTGATAATAGAGAAATCAACTGTTAGCATCACTGTTGTATAGTCAGGTGTAAGTTTAATATTGAATTCTCAGAGCCCTTCAGTGCATTAACCCTCCCAAGCATCCAGCCTCATTTCCCATATTGCTCTACTATTTGTGAAATCATGGGTAATACCACTATTTCCCAAAGATTGTACGGTAAAATCTAATCACTTATCCAGAGGATTTAGGTGATAGAAGAAGAAAAAAAATCTGGCAGCCAGATGGATTACAGTCAGTTTATTCTCCTGCTTGCTCAGTTGCCCTGAATGAGGTGGGGGCATCCTTAATCCACTCTCACACATTCACCATCACACCAAAATCCAGCTTTGCCTCCAGGACTATCCTCATGTTGACTCATCTCCTTACCACCTTGCTACAAGTTTTTACATAGCTCGCCTGTAACTCCCGTGGACATGGGCCCGAATGCATTCATAGAATGAATCTACTTCATTCCTTCATATAAAAACATTTATTGTTCATCTTGATTATTATGACTGTCGGTGAGCTGCACCACTCTGCAGTCCGTCTTCCCTTTTCATAAACTAATCATCCCTCTTTGGTATGGTAGGTCCAGCCTGCTGGCTAAAAAAGCGACCGGGGTCTTCATTCAGAAATCTAATTGACACATTCAGATGCCAACGGAATAATGGAACAACAGATTAATTGGGTGCATATCTGAAAGGGGGGTTTTATTAGTTCAGACATTGGCTTTATGTTGTAGATAAGTGGCACCAAGCACTTTTCAACTTATCAAAGTGATTAGAGGTTTCCATAATATTTATTTTACTGCAAAGTAGTCGGCCAGAAATCTGTAATTTCCTTTGTAAAAGATTGTATTACATTTTGCTCATAAAATATTAAGGTGAGAACAGCTCTCTGCTTTGAAAAGAAAAGCTACAACTGTAACTATCTGCATTACCTTCATATTGATTAATATGGAAATTTAATGATCATAATTATAATAGATTTGAATAGATCCTTTCAAGAAACTCAAGAAAGAGTATAAATAAATTATATTCATATATAAAAATGATCTAAACCGATCGTCCTGTTCACAAGTAAAGTGCTTGTTTTATTTGACCAACAAGCAAATATCAAAACTACTTAATTTACTGTTACATGAGATAAAGGATACCCTAAAATGCCTTATTTATGATTTTTATTTGTCAAATTAGCTGAAGATTTTCTAACAAATGTTCATTCGTTGCTCTAAATAAAATGTGCAGTTTATTCAGAGCCAGACTAAAATGTTTTTTCAACAGGGTACCTTAAGGGGAGTATAGAGTTTCTACTGGAATTTCGAGAATGAATGTCAAGCTGTGCTTTTCCAATTTTTAGGAACTCTGTCTAACTATGTCAAAGTTTACAATGATGTTTTGTAGTATTGAGCCCTTGTTTGCTTAGTGAGAGCTAGCCATTCAGAGACGTGTTTTCCTCGTATTTTTCTCTTGGCTTTCCTGCTGACGTTGTTGCCATACGATTTTTGTTCAATTCAGGGTTGTGAGTGAGAAGGACATGTCAAAACAATTACTGTTAACTTTCCCATTCACCAGTGAATCCTAACACAATTGATGTCATCATGTTGAAGAATATGCACACTCTTTGGTATTGTAAGTAGATCCTCGTGGCTTCTAATAAAGCACCCGACAGTACTGTTGATGTCCAGATGTAGCTGATTCCTTTTGCTTGCTGTTTCTACAGTTTTATTGTAGGCGATACGTTTTTGTTATCAGGGCTAAAGTTCAGTACCAGCAGGCATTACTTCTGAAAATTTTCTAGGGCTAGATGCTGAAGATATAAAGTCAAGTCCTTCCTTGGTTGTTGTATCTCCTTGTTTGGTTCATTCTGTGAGTACTACATTTTTTTCTTTATAGATAAGACAAATTAATAACCAGTATTCAGAATATATATCTAAATGAATGTCAGAAGAAATTTAAATGAGCAGACATGAGACTGAGAACTTGAATATATAGGAGAGAGAACGCTCATCTCTTATTAGGTTAATTTAAATGCCTGAGTGGCAGGGATGGCTTTGATTGGCTCATATTGAGGGTAAAATAAATAAATAAAGGGTTTTTCAGGTTTTGTATTTAGGCTTAAAAACAAACCGCTGAAATATACCACCGTTAAGGCTAAATGAGTAAAAAAAAAACCTGTGTAATTAGCCAATGCATGTTGTAATGCACAGTATATGCTGCACAAGTGTTGCATTCAAAGCTGATGTTCAGTGACTGTGCAGTGAATGATTTTGGATAGTAGGTGGGTCGGGTAGGATTGAGAATTGTGTAGTCTGTGAAATTTTCATGGGAAAAATCATTTAACCCGCTGATTAACACTTCTGAGTACCAGCTCTGATCTGATCTGTGAGAGTCAAAATAAAGGATGTAATGCAAAACGTAATCTGCAACAGTTTATTCTTTTGCATTTTTCAACACTAACTGTCTGCACTCCAAGTAAAGTCTTGTGCCTGACTCAAGAAAATTTTGACATCCATCATTGCAATGTAAAATGCTTTATTCTAGCCACGACTAGCTGTCACGTCATGCAACACAGCACCGCTGACAGTGGAGCCTGAGTGGGAGAGCTGTGGAGAAAAAACATGTTGACGATTACATTTCTTTGAGACAATCTTACAGGATTTTGATGAAAACAAAACATTCATTTTTTTTCTCAGTCTTTTGATTCAGCAACATTTTTAGTCTATCAGATTGTAAAACTTCTTTATGATATGAATGAAAATGCTTCTATTTCGCTTTATAATTTCTCTGAATGCAGGGCAGATGCTCAAGAGAAAACTGCAAGTACCTTCATCCACCTTCACACTTAAAAACCCAGTTAGAGATAAATGGGCGCAACAACCTCATCCAGCAGAAGACTGCAGCAGCCGTGCTTGCCCAGCAGATGCAGCTCATGATCCCTGGACCCAGCCTGCAGCCTGTGGTAAAGTCCTGGTTCAGGAGGAATTTTAAGTCAGTGTGATGTTGATGGATGGCATTCTCACACATAATATGTATGCTCTTCCCTCATAGCCAACATTTACACAGGGACTTGGCACAAACGCTGGTCTCGGTTATGGTTCATACATGACACCATTAAGCCATGGAATGAGCCTCATTCCTTCAGACATCCTCTCCAGCACTCCGGTTCTTGTTCCAGGGAGCTCACCTGTCTCAGTCCAGTGCTCCTCCTCTTCCTCCTCCTCTTCCTCTTCTTCTCCCTCACAGAAGCTTCAGCGTTCAGACAAACTAGAGGTATTCATGCACACCACGGCGTGACTTCACATAAAAATACATTAGCGCTTATGCAGTTTCACATGATCTGGCTACACATTTAAAAGCTGAACTCCTCTTGCTCCTCTCAGGTGTGTCGTGAGTTTCAGCGAGGAAACTGTGCAAGAGGGGAGACAGATTGCCGCTTTGCTCATCCCAGTGACAGCCCAATGATTGACACCACGGATAACACTGTCACTGTTTGCATGGACTACATCAAGAGTCGCTGTTCCAGGGAGAAGTGCAAGTATTTTCACCCGCCTGCACACTTGCAGGCCAAAATCAAATCCAGTCAACAACAAGTCAATCAGACAGCAGTGGCAGCACAGGCCGCAGCTGCAGCTGTGGTAAGTCAGAGTGTTATCCTTCTGATGATTGATAAAGTGTTCATCATTGTTCTGTCTATGAAATTGCTGAATGTGGAGTGCTGCATATTTGTAAGCATTTGTAATGGTACGTTCAGTGAAGTTGAATAGAAGCTCCTCTCAAAACTTTAAGCAGCAACTCCTGAAGTAGTTTAATATCAAAGAAATGCACCAGTATTTTATTTTTAATAAAACTTCTTAAAGGTCACAATATTGATTTCCTATGTAAAACTTCAGACAGTTGAATCTGACACCTTCCTCTCACAGATTTATATGGTCTAAAGCACGAGGATGCAGTTTTGCATTTGGAGGTTTTGCATTAGAGCTGTGCATTATTTTCTTTAATTTAAGAACTATTGAGGGTTATACACTGCCTAATTTGGGGCATACATCAGATGCTTCATATGCGGTACACATATATTAAGTTAACTGAGAAATGTTCCTGATGGACTGAGCTGCATAAGGCAGTGCATAAAACAGAGAGATCTATTACATAGTCTTAGCAATTTTAAATTGATCCTCTTCATTAAGTCTTACAGCTACAATTTTTCTTGGATTGTTTTTAAATTGCATCATTAAATAGCATTAAATAGCCTTTAGATGTAATGCACAATCAGGCTTCTCACAATTTCTATTAACTTTTCTTTAGTGCAATATTAAAGCCACATTGGCTCACTAAATTATGCTTCTTTGGCCTCCATTCTACTTAAAACTCATGTCTAGCATACATCATCTTTTATGGTTAATTCTTTTCCATACATTTTTATTTAGGTTGTAGTTTAAGTTGTTAGTTGTTCTTATGTACTGTACAAGTTAAGGAGACATCTGTAATTCAAAAGCTTTAGTGTGAATGCAGTAAATGGAGCTCCACATTCTGTGCTTTGTGACATCAGGTGCATGGTTGTTTTAGCTTTTGATTTGTGGTACTGCCTTTGCTACCTTCGTAAAACCAAGCTATCTTTCATTTAATTATGAAACTGTTAAGTGCTTGCTGTGCATTATATCAGTATCCTGCACTTGGAGTCATAAAACCAGCGTGTTCCAAAATCCTTTTGTGTGCATAGTAGGTTTTGTTAATATTTTAATATCTTTCATTTTAAGCATTGTTATCAAACTTGACGTATAGTTTAAGGTTATTACACCCTTGTTATTATAATTGTTGCCAAAATGATTCATTAACTGTACATGTTGACCTACTAATTAAGGAATCTTTAGTTTAATGTGTCCTTACTGTGCATGAATATTGTGTTTTATGTGGTATACTACATTCAGGTTATTTTTGTTTTGTTTTCCCCTTCTCACCTATCCACAATGCTGTCCTCCATGATGCACCTCTGCTTGCTGTTACCTGTATGTTAATACGCTTGAATCCCATTGGCCCACTGCCATCATGTGCTCGCTGCCTGCTATTAAAAGACTCAGTCGACTGCCAAAGCAATGAAGCGACCCCTCGAGGCAACTGTAGACCTGGTACTTTCACCTTTTGCTTTGCATGTAGCTATTAATTGTACTGTGAGAACTTTTCATTTTTGTCATTGGGGTTTACGGCTTCTTCAAGTCTTATATTGCCCTTCTGTACATGATCTGTCAGCATGGGTATTTTTAAGTGCTCAAGTTGTCAAATAAGTTTTGGTGAATACATTACACCAGTCATATCTGTGGTAGTTTTTTTTTTTTCATTGTGTCATCTTTATATTTTAGTCATGTGTATCATTTTTTAAACATAAATACTAACATATCCTTTTAAAGGTGTGCGTAACAGAAATATGGGAAGTGTCTTATTGCCTCTTGTCCCTTTCCAGGCCTTTCCCCATAGTGTTCTGCAACCCCTACCAAAGAGACCAGTTCTTGAGAAGAGCAGCTGGGCCGGCTCTCTCCTCAGCCCCAGTTTGTTGCACTACCAGCAGGCTCTGGTCAGCTCACAGACTCTGCAGCAGCCCACTGCAGCATTTTATCCCACAGGTGAGCTTCCAAACCTGCTATGACTCCATGGCTAAGCTAGATTTCCGTGTCTGTCTCAGTGCTTATTGCCGTCAGATATTGTTCGCAAATATCACATCATGTATTACTGTTACTTAACTGAAGAAATTTGCAGGATCAGCAGCACTCCTTGTGAACAGGTCTGTTATATCAAAGCTTTCAAAAAAGGGTGTGACTCTTAATCCTTACACTAACAGGTTTTTGACATGTCACTGCAAGATTCTTGGCTTTATCATAGCTTATAATTAAACTTTGTTAAACTCATATTACGAAAAGTAAGACTGTTATGAAAAACAGTTGCTCTCAGTTACTCCAGTAGAACCAGTAAACTATTAAAGATTGAAGCAGTGGTTACAAAGCAAATTGATGACCTCTTAACAACCAGGGCAGGTTCTTCAAGGCAACAGGTGTGCTATATGTCAGTTGGCAAGTCATGGTCATAGACACACCTATATGGGGAGAAATTTGCCTCAAAGAATTACAAATGTGTACAGTATGATACACACGCGTAAACTAAGATTTACAAATGCATACATTTAAACCTGACTAAATACTGATCATTTACACACAATTTGTTAAGTTCAGCTTCACAAATCGGATAATTTTCTGTGTATACAAATGTCTAAAACTACACGTAACATCCCTCTCGCTCACTTACAAAACCATGTGAACTAATCGCCTAATATGCACACGTGGGCTTTTGAGACACATTTCACAAGGTCAGCTTTGCACAGATCCATATATGTAAGCTGTGTTCATGTTCTGGTGTAAAATTGGGATTTCCTTTGTTTTCTTTTGGTGGGGGGGGGGGTCTTGTGTCTCATACTGTACATATTTGTAACCTTTTTTGAGGCAATTTCTCTCCATACACCTACACCTCACCTAATGTGACCAGTGTAAATGTCTGGTTTGAAAAGGTCTGTTTGCTTGCAGAAATTTCTCTTAAATGTATTCTATGTTAATGCGCCTGTTTTGTAGTTAGTGAACACTAACTAAAAAAACACTAGTTTTGTGTTACTCAGCTTGTATCCATCAGAACAAAACAATGCTGCATTAACACAATGGGCCTGTTTAATAAAGTAAAGATCTGTTTTTATGGGCTTACACCAGTATTGACCATATTAATGTATGTCGATTTTGATAAAGACCTTTTCTTTTTTCACCTGTAAATCACACAGGTTCTGTGTTGTGCATGACTCCAGCTAATGGCATTGGTAGGTGCCTCCTCCATGTTCTTCTTTAACCATGTCCTTTTGTAGTAAAGAATACATTACTTTGTCTGGATAAGGTAGAGTATACTTACTATTAACGGATGAGAAATCAACCCTTTGAATCAGGGAACTGGATGAGAACAAAAACTGAAAAAAACAAGAGATTACTTTAGTTTTTTAGTAAACATTTTTAGCTTTATGTTTCATTTTTTGCCTTTCTGATCAGAGCCCTGTATGTATATATGCTTGTAAAATTATTTTAAATATTCAAAGCACAGTAAAGAAATGTAAGCACTTTTGGTTTATTCTGGATTGTGATTAGGAAATTTGATCAGCATCCCATAGATTTACCTCATAGTTTATGCTCTTTAATGTTTTGTATTAATAGTAAAACTCTGTAAATGTTGTATTTAAAAAAACAAAACAACAACAAACAAACACATTGATCACCTCTGGTGGCATAGCTTTACATGCCATATCTTGTGGGATGCCAGATTATGGACAGATTTCCTAATTTTATCTCTTATCAGCCCTCCTTTTATGTTTTTCCCCTGCTGTCTCGCTTTGCTGTGTGATCACATGCCATCTGCTGGTCTAACCCAATGATGGCTTGCTGCTAATGTCATTTTGTATTTGCTTGGCAAGAGAGAGAGATACATTGCTATGGTTACCATAATGCTCCACCTCCCTTTTCATTGCTTTCATGGTTCCCTTCCTGAAAAAGTCCCCATGATGTACAGTGCTACGCCTGCTACTGTCTCTGCAGCAACTACTCCCGCCACAAGTGTCCCCTACGCAGCAACAGCACCAACCAATCAGGTTTGCTCCTTTTTAAAGCTTTCTGTCATAAATCCTTGAGCTCTAAATAAGTGCTTCATCTTTCAATCAGGGGAGTTGCTTCATCAGCGTAGAGATGCCCGGCTTGCATTGCAGCATTAAGCTTTCGTGTACCTCGTAGACCAACTAGGCTGCATCTCATCCTTTCCTTTAGAAACAAAACATATTTCTAGCTCTTCCATCTGCAAACTGTGGTGTCGCTTATATTCTCTATTGCATGTTTTATGCTTTGGTTGATGTCAGTGTCTTTTCCAACACAAGCTACAGTATATAGGACTTAACCATACAGTTCTTGATATTGGTTATGCTGACTTTCTGTGTGCAACGTCTTAATATAAGATTTTTATTATTCGTGTAATAAAAAATATTATTCACATTTCCTCAATTGGCTAGTTTGAAACATTTAATATTAGGATTGAGAGAGTAAATCTAAAGTATTTGGTATTCTTTACCTTGATTACTGTTGTCTTTTTAATGTTTAATGAATGAAGTCATATGGACATACGGATAAGTTAGTATTTAAACTTTGTCATGACCACTGGCATAAAAGTGTGGGGCTAAGTCAGAGTCAGAAGTTTTATTCATTTGAAAAGTCTTTTGAAACTGAAATTCTAAGTTTTGATATTTAAAATGTAAAAAAAAACTGTTTAAAAAAAAACAAAAGAATGATTTTATTTTGAATAAATTTGTTTTCATTTTTTTTTTTTTGTTAGTTTACGTTTATTTTTTTATTTTACATCTGATTTGATCATTTTCCGATTTTTAACCCTGGTTTTGTGTTGTGGGCATGTATGAAGGCGGAGAGGTGGGTGTAGACTGATGATTGACAGCTTCTGTGTCACATTTGTTACAAGTTTAAAATGAGCATTTTGATGGAAGATGGTCATCGCTCCTTTACAGGATTCTGCCGGCACCAGCCAACAGGTAAGAAACATGGTTTCCTGGATTATCCTATGATTGACTATATTGATGAGTGAATGTTTGTAACATATTGATATTGCAGGTGCTATGAACTCTTTTACATTAGGTTTAAATAAGGTGGGGGAGATTCTAATTTCAATATAGCTTTTTTGCAACCTACCACCCAATCAGACAACAGTATTCCTTGTTGTCGGGGTAAATTTTTCCCCACATGTATGTATATCAATATGTTTCAAATATTGACCCATCAATATAGTCCATTATAGCACAATCTGAAACTGTGGCTGGTGCCGGCAGCATCCCGTGAAGGAGCAGTGACCATCTTCAGCCAAAATGCTTATTTTAAACTTGTAACCAACGTGACACAGGAGCTTTCAATCACTAGTCTACACGCACCCCTCCCCTTTGATACACAGCCACAACACAAAATCACGGTCAAAAGTCTGACACTGGAAAAAAAAAGGGTTTGAAGCTGATAAATAGTTAAAACTGTTTTTAAAAATGCATAAAACAATTTATTCAATGTGTAAAATAATTCATTTGATTGTTTAAACACATTTTTTAATATCAAAACTTATAATTTCAGTTCCAAATCACTTTTGCAAATCAATAAAACTTTTAACCTTAAATTAGCTCCAAGGTCAAGCCCCATTTTTACAAAACTATGTATCAAGAGAATAAAGTTCATTTCACTTAAACTTTGTATTTTCATATCACTTAAGAGTGAGAAGTGAGTTTCTTAATAATCTTTGTCTTGTAACAAAGGCGATTGTAAAGTATACCTGTTGTGTGAAACTACTCAGTGACTTGTCTTTGCCTCCGAAACAGATCATCCTCAAGTAACCGCCAGAAACAGAAGCCAGTGCCGTGTTGCTGCTGTTAAGGGTCCCGGGCAGCCGTTCTGTAAATATTCTGTTAACAATACACACAAAATACAAGAGGCTGCATGTGGATAACATCGCCGACTTTATCTGACATTATGATGATGATGATGATACATTACATGCAGTTATAATGAACCTCTACATTATACTGTAATAGGTGTCAGAGAGATTGTTATTGTACACGCCTTTGCACCTGCTAACATGCACCTTCAACGATCAATGTGCATTATTTATTTGTTTCCTAAACTAATTCTGATAGGGTTATGAGTGCTGTTAACCACCAATCAAACTTAAATACAATAGATGCTACAGAGAAGTAAACTGGCAGTAGTGGCATAAAACTAAACAACAGAGATGTTTTAAATAATGTAAATATTTTAATCAGTTCTCAGTCTGTAGACAGTACCTGTTAATGTCAGGTGTAAAGGCGTCCTATATTGTAGATTATATTGCAGTTTTATCATCATCATATTCTTTATTGAATGTGTTATTTAAACTAAGAAAGTTTTGTTTTTGATGATAATGATTGCTCATCTAGTGCCAGATTTAACTTTTAATCAAAGAGAAAAGCACTTAATTTAACTTTAAACTTAACAAAAAATTGTGTATATAAAAAAAATGTAATCTAACAGCAGGTTTATGGATGTCCCTTTAAAAATGCTCTGAGTCCCTCTATACTTCACCCAGAGTAATGGATCAGTGCTCCACCTCCTGGTGTGCCTTTGCATTACATATACAGATTGTTTTCTGTCTTTTCTGAGAGAAATGAAATGTTTTATCCGTTCAAAGCAATTTTGTTTTTCTAATTTGACACCTCTTTAGTAAATGTGCATTATTGCTCAAGACAATTGCTGACTCACTGATGGATCTGTAAATACTTTTCACTTGTTCAAGTTGATATAGCCTCCACAGCCATGAAAGTCAGCTCAGTAAGAGTATGAAGTTACTGCTGCTCATATTCAAACTAAAGCTCTTGTGATCCTGTGAGGGTTGCGTGTTGAGTAGTGTCTCAACTGTTAGTCTTAAGGTTGCAGTCACTTGTCAGTACTGTATTAATCGAAGGTTACAAGTGCCTAAACAGTTGTGCATGCAATGATTAAGTATATTTGAAAAGGTTTGTGTGGAAAAACACTCAGAAAATCTATTCCACTTAAGACATATACATTAGGATTAAATCTACGTGTTTTTGCAATACCATGTAAATGCAGTGGTATTGTGTGTGTGGACCTGTTAATTAGGCTTACAGTTTGTTTTCACTGATGCTTTAATGTGTATGTTATTCAATGTAATTTTCAATTTAATTTGATTTTCTTTCATTTTTCGACAAGAAATTAGCAAAAAGGGCAAAATACTTTTGTAGTAAAGTAGAAGGAGGCAAACATTTGGTGACATGTAGTCATGAGAGATTGACGCGGCATGATGCAGTTACTCATTGCTGTCTACTATTTAGCAGCAGACAGGGTGGGCATTGTGTCTGATTAAGAGAAATATTGTTTCTTTCTTTTATTAGAATTTTAGTTATCTATTTTGCAAACAAGGTGTACAAATAGAAACCTTTGATTGAATCTTTTGCATTTCTTCACTTTTTTATTATATATTTTCCTTGTGATGTTTTACATGTCAATAGAATTTACGAGCATAATTTTACTGGTGTAATATTAGTTCAAAATAGTTTTAACATGTATTCTTTTATTTTGTGATGAATGCAATTTATTAAAATTACTTTAGGTGTGCTGAGGGTTTCTCAAAGGACCTTGATCTGTTAACCTATTAAAAGCGGTCTTGTGTCCAGGGATTGATGTTGGACAAAGGAGAAACTTAAAGCAATTTATCCTTTTTGCTGCCTGTAAGGGACAACAAGCCTTTGTATGACCAAGGCCATAGGATTGATTTTTCTGTACAAAAGTGCATCATACAGGACATGTTTTCCAAAAAAGAAAAGAAGTAATTTTCATAATGGTGTAACAGTAGTTTGTCATTTATTGTCTGATTTGCTGCTGAGGGCAATCCCAAGTTGCAGTGATGAAAACTGTATTTTGGTTGGTGGTAGATTAGCTGTATCTCCTCACAGTAATTAGATTACTTGGAAGAAACTTGGATATTTAACTTTATTATTATATGGTGAAACACTGTGGGTAAAACAGTGCATAAAAGAGAACTTTTGAAATGTTAGTTTCGTGTTTGTTAAGGCTTCCCTCTGCATGTTGAGCACCAAACTTAAAAATGTATTTGGCTTTCAAAATATAATTGCTTTAAAAGTTTAGACTGCTATTAGACATACAATATTTCCCCACTTATTTATTTTACTTAAAGGCATGTTTTTGAATGTTTGTGTTATGTTATGGCAAAACGTTTGAATGTCATGGATCCACCTGCACACAGAGGTTGTTTGAGATCTCGCCCAGTCAAAAAGATGTGAACAGTAAGAATGTTTGGTCTGACTGACTGATGGAAACACTTCTCATAAGCACTTTTTCTACAGTCAGACAACTGAGAAGACAGGCTTTGTGTGAACTTTGCCTTACCTTTGGTGTATTACTGAGTCTGTATTTGTTCACTAATTATGCTTTCTATGTCGTCTAATAAATAGAATAAACTTCACTGAACCTTTCTCTTAAATTAAGATACACACATTTCTAACATGAGGACATTATTACATTGTAACGACACCTGAAATAGCTGATATTGATTGGCTTGTGGGGTTGGCTAGCATTTTATTGCAACCTGTCATATTTAAACACTGAAGCTTCTCGTTAAGATGTCACGCAACAGCTATTTGGATCCATCCTGGTCTGAATGCAAACATTTTCCCCAAAAGTAATTGTGTATAATTAAACATTTCTTGTGGATATTTTTTGTTCCTGTAAATTCTAAATTGTGTACAATCTGATATTAAATATACATAAATAAATATATGAATGTCGTGTAAATGCCATCCTGTGAGCTGTGTTTAATTTTGCAATGCATCAGCAGTAGAAACCACGTGTCATCCTCAGTGAGCATGTTTTCATGTTTTTGTGTTACAATTTGTTCAAACAGCTGTCCTGTGAAATTGTATTTATCACTATTAGTGAAAGCTAAAGTAGTCAATTAAAAAGACTTACCTGGCGGTTTCAATTGGAGTGTGTTACATAGCCTGTATTGCTCATTATCAAAGAATAATAAAGGTTTATTATATATTTTTTACAAGGTGAGTGACTTTTCACTCTCGAGTCGGATCGCAGCTAAATTTTTTTATTTTTTTTAAATGCAGCGTTACCATAGCAACAGCATCCGGTGCGTTTCACCTCCTCTTGGATACACATCCCCGAGCCGCCTCCGTGATTGGATGAGCTCTCTTTGGATGTCACTGGGGCAACCGAATGATGGGAATTTTAACACATGAACGGAAATGTCAGCGACGAATCTCACTGGCTGCCTCCGTGAGGCTGCCATTCAGGCACATGTGAGGTGTACAGAAAGCGGAAGCGCCCATTGGGCTGTTCGCGTATCCATCTGACGAAGGAGGATCCACAGGCTTTTCCTTTTTTCTTCTTTTCTTCTTTTTTTGGTGCCTCGGTACGGGAGCCGAGTGGGGACCGGCTGGTAACGCAGCGGCCGCGGGTCTCCACCCGAGAGTATGGCGGCTGGAATCGCACTGGAGAGCGGGGGAGAAGCGGAGACATGTCAGAGATGGTGAAACAGAAACAAAGAGACGCAAGTTCTTTAACTGAAAGTCAGGGCACTTTAATTTGGGAGAGTTTCTCTAAGGCGGTCTACAGCTTAAAAAATCGCGCCTGCAGTTCATTCCGAGGCTAAGCCAGCGTTTTCCCAGCGTCCTCGATGGAGCAAGTTTGTTTTTTTATGAAGTACAGAGAGGGGTGAGCTAAGCAGATGAACAGCCGCACGTTCAACATCATCGGGCGAGCTTCTTTTTCTCCCTTTGCGCATTTTTCGGACACTTTCAGTCCTCGGATGCTCGTATAACTGTCAGTGTCTGGCCTGCATGGGGGGAATATCTACAATGAAATCCATCTTGGGGTGCCGAGTCTTTGTGCTCTGCCATAGCTGAGCAGCAGCGAACAAGACTGTGTTATTGACAGCCCGTTCAGAATGGGACACGAATGGTGAGCGTGATTCGCACTGGAGCATTTTGCGTTGATTTCAATGACGCGCGGAGATTGATACCTTACGACTTGATTTAAATCCCACGATGCGCGAGTATAAAGTGGTGGTCCTGGGCAGCGGTGGGGTCGGGAAATCCGCCCTCACTGTGCAGTTTGTGACCGGGACGTTCATTGAAAAGTACGACCCCACCATAGAGGATTTTTACCGCAAGGAGATCGAGGTGGACTCCTCGCCCTCGGTGCTGGAGATCCTTGACACCGCTGGGACCGAACAGTTCGCCTCAATGCGCGACCTGTACATCAAAAACGGTCAAGGATTCATATTGGTCTACAGCCTTGTCAACCAGCAAAGCTTCCAGGACATAAAGCCGATGAGGGATCAGATCATAAGAGTGAAAAGGTTGGTGAAATCATGTGCTGGGGGAAAAAAAGAGTCATTTCCATAATTAAGTGTGGCTGTTGGGGGTTGTTTTTCACAAATATATGCTGGACTCATGGGCCCTGTAGTTTCAGGATAGGTCTCGGCCTGCTTGGAGATGTTATGCATCTTTAAGGCAGCAACACTCCATGCCTATTATGGTATTCCAGGTCTCACCCATATTTCTTGCCCCCATGCCTCTGACCCGGCATATTAAGTTCCTGCAGACGTTCTAATGTCTCACTTAAGTGTTTACTAACAGGACAACAGTGGTGATCCTTCCTACCCCTCAGCTCTGCGAAGACATGTCTGTCTTCCTGTCAGAGCAAAACAAAATAGTGTCAGCGATCTGCCAAGCTGCTGTCTAGTGCCGCTCCGTGTCCACTGGATGCTGCAACCTTTGCGAGACACCCAACCGGGAATACCCAGGAT